AGTGCTCCTGCTTTATGCTTCTCCCCTATTCCCCTCTTTCTAATTTATAGGCTGCACTGGTTGCCAAGGATCGGCGCCTCAGTAGTACGAGCGCTGCATCAGTGAGTACAAAAGTCTGCGTTAACGAGCAGTACGGAGGTGGAGATTTCCTGTGGGTTTGGAGACAGCAGAGCATCTCTCGGACCCAGTAAGATATTATTGTGGTGTCGTCTGTGAGGATATTGCAAATAGCTTTTTTTTTTTTTCTTAATCTCCGGTGAATGTGTTTAAATTTTAAACAACCAGTTGCCATTTGACAGGAGCTTATTAGCTGTTTTTCTGTTAAAAAGGTAGAATTTAATGTTTTTCCAGTGCTACAAGGAATTGTGTTCTGTTTTACTTTGACTTCTAGAGTGCAAAGTTTGCTCCCAGAGAGCTTATAATGGTGTTGATGACAGCTGATGTCCAAAGTGACAGGTTTGAAGGCATCTGAAACAGGAGAACAAGAAATAAATGTCCCTGTGTTGTGAAGGCTGTTCCCTTGTTCTTCCTGTAAATGCCAATGTGGGGCTGGACACTCCACGCTGATCGCCCCAAGACCTTCCCGCTACTGTGTGTTTTCATCCACTTTTGCCATGGGTAAGGCAGGTGCACGGTCGTGTTTCCCACACGACGGAGGTTTGGGGGCTGACTTGCCCCCTAGCTGTGTGCCCAACAGAGCCTTGCAATACCAACATTTGTCGTGTTGAAATCAGCCTTTGATTAGATGGTGTGGGTGATGCAGATGACCACTCTCAGATGGTAACTGGTAAGCAGAAGATGTTCCTGACGCCTTTGGTCTAAGTCCTGGTCTGTGCCCGTACTCTTTGACCTACCATGGATATGGCAAAGCGGATCTGTTTGCCTAGTTTTTAGGAATGATGGGGGGCAAGGAATGAGAAGAACCCCTTTGGCTGGGTTTCTTAGGCCTGTTGAGAAGGATGCTGGTTTTGCCAGATCTGTGTTTTTGTACAGAGTCTTAGAGTTCTGAATGTGTCCTTTTCATATACATTCATATCGCTGAAATAATTATCCTTCTTGCAGTATTCATTTTTATTGCATGCTAAAAATATTATTTTGCTGCTTGTTTTGTTTCGGATTGTTTTCATGCATCCAGCTTCCCTTTTATGTTAATGATTTTTTTTCCTTGCACATTTGTATATGCATGTAAATCAGAATGGAAATAAGCTAGAAGAGTATGTACAATCTTTTCTCTTGCCTTTTTTGAGATGATGCTATTATTGACTTCTTGTTTAACAATAACAAATTTAAAACAAAATAATGTGGTCAGAGTTTTCCAAACAGGAGGCACTCTTTACGCTCCCTCTGCCTTTGGACCACAGACTTCAAATCATTTGGAGAAAAATGATAAGTGTTGGCCAGTTCTTGGTTTAAATGAATTGGTTTTTGATTTCCAGAGCTTTGTAGCAGCCACACTAACACCTTTCCTTGTGCATAGCTGCAGCAAATGATGCTAATCCTTTCTTCAAATTAGTTGCTCTTAAAATACTAACCTCCTAATTCCTTGATAGGATTGTGGGCCTTGTGCAAGCTCTAAGTGTGCTTGTGTACTTCACGCTTCACGGTGCTGTACCAAGTGTGTGGTGCATGTTCCTGTACTAACGCTGTTGTAGCGAATCAACACCTAGAACCCATTTCTGTAAAAGAACCTGAAACGTTGATAAATCGAACTGTTGCACTGTGCCATCAAGACGTCTTTGATTGTGATACAATGACTGAGTGTCAGTCAAGCCTGGGGAGTAAGGAGGCAGATGTGGCTGGTTTATTCAAGGATTTCTTAAAGTGTTTCGCTAACCACAATAGTTTCCAGCTCTCCCGGTGGGAGAAAGTTAATCTCACTAACAGAAGAAGAGAATGAACTATCTGGCCACGAGACGAGAAATGCCAGTAGATTGTTGGGCCGTCTGAAGTAACTGTGTGAAACACACGGGTATAGATCATCAGAATAATCCAAGTTACCAGTTTTGAAAGCTAAAGAGCTTTCTTTTCTGCTCTTCTGCATACACGATTTGTTTACTCTGTGTGATTTGAATGGTACGAAGGGAGTTGATTCTCATTTCCCTTCGCATACAGGGATGGAAAATGAGGCTCTTCATTTTAAAATTACGGTTCAATGACAGGGTGACCTCTTGATTCTAAACCTGTGTTTAAAAATGTATATAGATAAGTCTCTACTGATGGAATATGAACAAATTTAAGTATTTTAATCCTAAGCAAAGACATTTGTGTAGCTGTAGCTGAGATAGCAATGTGTAGGAATACTTTTTTCACTATCAGTAATCATCTGTAGTCTCTACCTATGTCATCTATGCCAGATTCTTTTTTTGTGTGTGTGTGATCTACAATGCTGGCTTAATTCACTTGCAGTGTTTCAATGTTACAATAATCTTGGTAACACAGTGAAGCTTTTAGGTGTTGTTATTTTAAATAACCCAACTGGTTCTGTGTTTGGTGGGTCTTCATTCTCCAGGAAAGGATAAAGGGAATAAGCAGTATCCATAGAGAGTGTAGTGAGTCAGTGAACACCAGGTGCCCAGTTTTCAAATGATCTTGATGCTTCCTGTGTAAGGAATACCTGGATGTCTACAGATCTGCAGAACTGGTTGGGATAAGTGGGCAGCTTGCACTTGGCTCCAGGGGTTGGAGCTGGTCCTGACTGTGTGAACACTTTCTCATAGAGTGTCCTTAATGGTGAATTGCAAGGCAGGAGGTGAATGTGGGAGTGTGGACTCTTGCAAATAACGCCAAGCACCATAGTCTGTTCTTCACTCAAAAAACCCTCCTTTTGCTTCTTCTTGCAGCTAATTTGAAAGGTATCTGCAGGCTTGAAAAGTGGGCTCTTTTTAGAAAAAAACTTCTGTGGGACTAAGAGGAGTCTGAAATGTGTGCTACTTTCACACAGAGCTTCTGTGCATGGAAAGCCAAGTCTGTGGTAATTTGCTACATTGGAGTTAACACAGTCGTTTTGCTTTTCCATTGGAATTTCCCACTCCAAATTTGTATAGCAAATGGGAGCCATATAAGCGCTCAACTTTGAAGTAAGCTCTGAGAATGTGCTGTTTAACTTAAAATCTGCACAGAAACTCTCCTTTCCTTGTGTTCTTGGGCTAGTTTTGTGTTACCTTTTTGCCCTTTTGTAGTTACTCTTTACTACTTTCCTCAGTCTGAAACCAATTCATTTTTTATAAGCATCAAGGCGGAGACCACAGGGTTCAGATTACACTTCTACTTCGGAGGAGGAATATGGCTCAAATCACAGCTCCCCTAAACACAAACGCTCCCATACTTCAACAGCCACACAAACACCGAGGATACGTGGCTCTGGGCTGAGCAAGCAGAAGCACAATGGCAGAGAAACGGATGACGATGAAGATTTTGATGACCACCCTGACCCGTACAACTTCATGGCGCAAACGGCAGAAATAGCAGAAATAGCCAGGTGAGGTGGGGCTTTACGTGTTGACCCATGTCCTGAGAATGGATTAAGGGGGTTTTTTTGGTGTTCAGAACAAACCCAGGTGTGGAGGTAGAAAGGAGAGGCACTCTGTCCTGTTGTTTTTGTGCCCCCCATCTCCTTCATATCTGAACATCAGCATGTTCAGACTTGAAAGGTTTTCATAAAACTTTGCAGCCTAAGCTGGACAGCGGTGACTGTACCTTTTCTCTAGAAAACACCAAGGCACAGGGAAGCTGGGTTGTATCTTGGTTTGTTTCTTGTTCAAGGTGTGGATGGGTATCCTCTTTTAGCTCTAAGTTTGTCAAAAGATGTAACTGTCTATACCTGCTTATCTCTGCTTTCTGCTGGAAGTCACTGCTTGTGCACAGACTGGTTGGTGTGAATTGTCCTAATCCTCTGAAGAGGAAGTCAAATGGATTAGCAAAGACTAAATATGTAAACTGCTGAAGCTGCTTTGCCTGAAGCCGGTGAGGGAGAAGTAAGCAGTGGCTGTGGGGCAGAAACCTCTTTGCTTGGCACAATTGAATCCAAACAAGAAAATCTGTCTCGGCCTTGTGTATAAATGAATTGTTGCTTAGCTCGATGTTCCTTGGATACAGGACCTATTGTATACTGGTGGTCTAGTGGTTGCCTGGAGGACCTCAGCAGTAAAGCAAATAGATTCTTTTTTTAAACAGTGGCATTTGAGGTTTGACATCTCTAATATGCAACTGTGTTATGCCAACTTTCCAGAAATACTGGTCTTCCATTGTACTGGCCATACTTGAAATACTTCCGACTGAGGAAGCCGTCTGCTGTCTGCTTTTGGTCGCATTTCCACCTCACCCGTATCACTTGCTGCACAGACCTCGAAAGGGCTTTTCTTGCCTGAACGTTGCTGTCAGGCTGCTAGAAAGTGTGTCAGCCTTCAAACCAGGCTGCATACCTGTACCGCAGGAAGCGTGCGTGTGGGAGACACCGGCTTCCCCCCTAGCAGCGTTCGCGGTGCGGGAGAGCGCTGTGGGTTGCAGCAGCTATAAATAAATGGTTGCATCAGACTTGTCTGGCGCTGCACGTTGCAGGGCTCGGTCACAGACTCTGCTTGGTAATTGCAGCTCTGATTTCCGTTGCTGCTCCCAAATTAACTGGGAGGGGTTTAGAGGAGTCGGAGAGAGTTAAAAGGGAAAATGCCACTTATTTACAGTAAGTGAATCACGTAATGGATGTGTTCGGTGACAGCTCTGGAAACCAGTGCAGATAGGGGACTCCTTAGGCAGGCAGATCAAACTGCTTTTTATTAGCTCAATTATGCGTTTTCTTTCAGAGAAAATGTTTTGATGAACTGACAGTTTTATTACCTGGCTTCGTTTTTCGAACTAAAGAAGAAAGTGTCTTTCAGGTGAAGCTAGCTAGATTATTTTTTTCTCATAGAAGCTTTTCCTTTAGAATTACCACAACAGCTACTTTTGGTCTGAACGGTTTTTTTTTTAAGCTCTGCTGGCAGCAGTCCAGACACAGAGTGTTAACTGGACACCTGTCAAGGGGCTTGAAGTTTCAAGACTTGGTTTCTGAAAACCAGATCCCTCTAAGGCACACTGTGCTTACCCAGGTAATTCGTCAGCCCTTCTGGAGAGTGCAAAGGTGTATTTTGATTTACAGTCTATAAACCACAAGGAACGAGAATTTGAGTTTTTATTATTTAAGTAACAAAGAAAAAAGCTTTTTGCCTTGTATGGGCTTTTTGAAGGAAAACAAAGAAGTCCCAAGAAGAAAAATGACTGAGTTCTATTAAAAAAAGAAAAAAGGAAGTAGAGTGGATGGGTGCAGGAGCAATAACATGAAACTTCTTTATGGATTGTCTCCAATACCTTCTGGTAGTGTGTAGTCACTAGAATTTGCTTTTTATCAAATCTCTACTTTAAAGCTGGGTTCAGGAGGGGAGTGTATTTATTTTGTGTGCAGCTAGAGTGTTCCTCGGTACCCTGCCAAGACACTCCAAAAAAACTTGCTTTCGTTAGCCTCTGCAGAGGTTATAGTTTCCATAAACTTTTTGTGGCTGCTCCTTTTATATTTTATGAATATGAGGCTTGTTGTATCATGTGCCCTAATGGCTGTGCTGCGTGCCCTGTGCATTAGGCTCAGCCAAACCTTGGTGAAGGACGTGGCCATCCTTGCTCGAGAGATTCACGATGTTGCTGGAGATGGGGACTCTCAGAGTTCATCGGGGACGGCACCAAGCACCTCCCTCAGCTCTGTGCCCAACACTCCTGCTTCCACCATATCAGCGAGAGAGGAGGTAAGATCCCGAACAACAAGAAATCTCTGTCCCTGAATGCTAAGTACATGGGGCACAGTTGTGGTGGGAGACCAGGGCAGCGTCCCCAGTTGCTGCAGCATTGAAAAACCCTCATCCCCTCTACTCCTCAAAAACACCACCAGAAAGGTTGACTGCAGTCTACTTAGGGTACTGTTTATTTTGCCCTCCTCTGTGCCAGAATCAGCCTTGCAAGAGGTGGGAGTTGTATTATTTCCTAAGGATCTCATGGCCTCTAGTTGGACTTTGGTCACTGAAGTTTGCATCTGGGGAACAGGGTTGAGTGGGTGTGCCAGAGCCTCCCTCCTTGTTTCAGGCAAGGCACTGAGCGTGTGCTCCGGCTGCACACTCTGTATCAGCTGTTTGTTTTGTTCTTCTGCTGTGTCCTTTCTGCCAGGGCTGTTGAAACGCTGTGCCGGTGTTACTTGAATCCCTTCCCTCCTGTGTATAGATGGACAAGGGCAGGGACTCTGTTCTCCAGCAGTGAGTTGGGCAAGAAGGAAGGCATTTAGCCTGGGAAGTGCTGTCCTCCACCTTTTCAGTGAAGCTGTGGCTTCCTCCTGAACTGTTTGACGCAGTTTGTCTGCGCTGGTGTGGGGAGGAGGGAGGTGTTTTTTTTTTTAATTTGGCTTACCAGTGCCACAGCACAAGGACTCAGCTCAGCTCAAACTTGGCTGCAAGGTCACCAGGAAGCTGCTAAAGCAGAATTGCCTTAGCTGCTGTTAAAGTCCAGATTCCCTCTTGTCTCCCACCAGCATGGGCTTAAAAAAAATACACAGTTCTCTTTATTTGCTGTTCAGGTGGGCCTCTTGACCCTCTGTTGTGAGAACCGTGGACCTGTCCTTAAGCAGGATTCAAAGCTGAGGACCAAACCTGTTACCCTGCCAAGAGAGTACTTGGAGGCCCTGTGACCCTGCTGTGATCATCACTGAAGGTGCAAAGCAGAAGTTTAGGGAGATACCCAGAAGATCAGGTGTGGCTGTGCTTGTGTCAGCTGCAGCCTGCTCAGGGAGGGGTTTTGTCCTGGGGCTGTTTGGAGCCACAGTGCACAAATGTTTCACAATAACTTCAGGCTCTGAGATAGTGTTTTATTGCTTTGTTTCCTTGCAAGTGCCACACCTGCAAAACTGCTGTTTGTATTATTCTTTTTGAGCAGTTAAGGTGACAAATCTCCCTTACATCTGACTTGCAAATGAAATGTTTGCTATGGGTTGGTAATGACCAGTACTCAGCACCTGCTTCCTTCCAGAAAATCAGTGTACCTACTTTTTTGTGGAGTGCCACTGAAGGGTATGACCATAAGTCAGCTCATACAGAGGGATATGTCCTCTGCTGCTAGAGCAAGAACACCTGCAAAACACAGTGTTTCTGTTCTGTGCGGGATGATGGGTTCCAAAGCACATGGTTGTGATGCTGAATGGCAGGATCACAAAGCCAGGATTGCTCGAACCCAGGCTGAGGGTTTCTCTGCGACGTGGCTTTGCAGCACTGCTGTGTGGGACGTGCCAGTCAGCCCCCTCGCATAGTCAGGAGAGCAAATGCAGGACTGTGTCATGCTGTAGGTAGTGCTCCAGGCAGTACCCACTGCTAGAGCAGTTTTTGAGATCTTACCCTGGTGTAAAGGAAAAAGCACTTGTGGGAGCCTGTGAAGACACATCAGGAGTCATAACTTTTGGTGTGTTCAGCCAGTGGTGGCTGAAACCACCATAAAGGCTTTTAACTAGATTAGCTCCAAACAGGGTTGGATAGCATCATGATTTCAGCAGGGCCAGCGGCTGGCAGGCCATTTGAGTTACACCCAGAATGCTGCCATGCATCAGTGGAGCTGCCCTATGTTAGCGATAGCCAGGAACAGGTTAAATCATCAGGACTTTCTACTGGTGATGCTGAGATGTGGACCCGAATGGTGCATCTTGGGGGTCATGTTATGAATGAGAGCGATATAAACTGATGTGAGTTTAATAAACACACATCTGGTCTTTGGAACTGGACAAGAATCAGCAGACACACTTCCCTCAGACTAGGTGCTGCTGAATCTATACTGAAATAATTATTTTGACTTAATGTGGGGAAGTCACTGGGAAATATCTGAAGATCAGCATGTGTGCTGCTAAGCACCATGAATTTTATGTTTATTAAACAACTTTATATTAAATATACTAGGAAAGGACATAGTGATGAGAAATAGCTATTGTAGTTACAATAGTAATGTCTTGAAACGTCTGATAAAAGGAAGTATGTGAACAAGAAACGTTTGTCCTGTGTGACTGTCTCTGATACTCTGGCTCTTGCAGCGCAGTGTGCCATTCTGCTAGCTCTTGATTTTCTACTACTAAAGTTTTATACCTATTCTAATGAAGTGAGGGGAAAATGCAGGAAAAATAAGTACTGATGCTGGAATCACTTTTGAGGGTTTAATGCCATACCAGAAGCTTTGCTTTGGACCAGTGTGTGGCACAGCATTTCTCAGCCTCAAATGAATCGCTTTTTAAATTACTTTTATTACGAAGTTTGTTTAAAGATTGAAATCATGAGTGTTCTCTTAACTTTTAAGATGGAGCCTTAGATTTCAATCTTATTCTTCATGTTCTATCCTTTCAGGTCCGGTGTTGGCTTGGATGTTTTCCAGGGAGGTTTTCAGTTTCCCCAGTGCATGTTTGGGATGTTTTTGTTTGTTTTTGTAACCTCAGCTATATAGTTTATAATAACCTAGATTCTTGGCATACTGAGCTGAGTACTGCTACAGATTAAGCAAAAAAACCCAAAGCAAACCAAAACAAAAAAAAGAGTTCAGCAAGGATGAAGCCTTCCTAATTCCTGTTTACTAAAGCCACGGGTTGTTTGGGATGCCTTGGGTTGTGGGTGTGTAGGTTTTAAAGGACCGAGCTTTCTGCAGAGCTGAGCCGTCACACTGAAAGCTGAGCTGCTGCAAGTGTAGTCAAGTGGGTCATCCCAAATCACTAGCCACTTCTGCAAATTTTGGCCCTGCCTGACATTCTTTTGGCTGGTCTTTTTTTAAAGTTGATAATGATATAGCTAAAACTTAAGAGGCCAATTATGTTTGTTTAGTTGTTGTTTAATGTACTCAGTATGAGTGTTGGTATGACAAGAGGAAATGCTTACTGATGTGACAGAACAGAAAGCATGAGAAGAGACCAGGTCACACTTGAAAATCTTCTCCTGGTGACAGTGGAGCAGGTGCTGCCCTTAACTGTGTTTTCAACTGGTTGTGCTGAGAACTGCTGGACTGTAGGAATATCTCATTCCCTTCTGACGCTGTTTCACCGCTGCAAGCAGCCTAACTTACTGTTTCCGCACTTCCTGAAAAGATGCTTAATAAAGAGAAGCTTATGAGCTAAACCTTCTGGCTATTGTACCCCTGTACCATAATATCTCATACCTCTGCCTGTGCATAACGCAAGTGCTACTGCATAGAGTGTGGGGAGCCTGGACCTTGGATGGCACATGGTTTCCTCGCAAGAGCTGTGTGCTTTGCCAACCAAAGAGCATCCTGGGCTGTATGTTTAGCCCATTCTCTGTGCTCGGAGGGCTGCTGGATTTCACTCAGCACGGTCCATTCTGAAGTAACTGGGGAGCTGCCCGAGACCACCTCTGCAGAACTGGTTGGTGACCAGGACCTCCGTGGGCTTCAGTGCATGCGAGGGTGGGCATCTACTGCTGGTCCTCAGGAATGCGCTTTGGGAATATCAACCCAAAATAACCCAAAACCGTGTGTTCTCTTTGATACTTGCTGTCACAGTCATTCACTAGCATTGATCTCTTTGTTTCTGTTTTAACACAGATTGCTCGTAGATCTTTTCGGCTGGCATATCCATCTCAGGTGCACTTTCCATCCCATTATTTTTTGTATCTCTGTCTCGTCACTATTATTTTCCTCCCGTTCTTGTAGAATTTTTGTCTGTCAGTCAACCAAACAGGAGTAGCTGTCTTGTGTTTTCTGTTCTTCCTGTTAATTATTGGCATTATCAGTGATTTTGTATTGCTTTTTCATCTCTTCCATGTGTTACTGAATGGTTTCTGATTAATTTTAATGTGGCTTTAATGTTGCATTGATATATTAAAACAAAGATATGGGAAAACGGCGCCTTTTTGAGTTCTAACTAAATTCAAAAAAGGCAAAGATGTACTTTTCAACTACGTGCTCAAGACTCAAAATTGTTAAGTGGAATAGCCCCACTGAGTTTCATAGGATGACTCCAGTGGGTAGACACTCGCAGGATTGGGGTCTAGTAATTTGCTTAGGAACCCATACCTGTCTGAACAAGACTTAAATGAATCAGTGTTCCTCTGGGGCTTGCCTGAAAGTCTGCAATACCTGCAGTGAATGCCTGTTTGCCTCCTTCCCTACTATTTTTTAATGACTCATTACTCATTATTTCCAAGTTGGTGCAGCACATTCCAGAAGCAAGTCTGAACTACCAGAAAGTGCCTCCGGGATCAGTGGAACTGAAGGATTTTGACCAAAATATGAACGATAATAGAGAAGAGGATCCCTCAAGAAAAACGAGGACAAGAAACCGTGAGGAGGCAGGCCACCTTTTTCTTTACTGTTTCTTTATTTTATATATGACATTGCTTTAAGCTGCAGTATGTGTACCTGCTCTTTCTAAGCTGCCAAAGGAGGCTACTCAAAAAAAAAAAAAAAGGCAAAAAAGCAGCACTTCTCAAGAGCCTTAACTTGTAGATTAGAAAACGATGTTTAAAAAAGAAAAAAAGAGGAACAGAATCACCCTTCTTGCCAATACTGACTGGAAGTTTCCTCTCTTATGTAAAACTCCACTAAAACCTGAGGCGTGGGCACTTGCTGTTTGGGAGGAGGCATTCAGTGTCAGAGCTCACTTAGGCTATTTCACTGCTGTTTTAAAGGAAAGCACAAAAATCTCAGCTTTGAAATCAGCAGCACCGATAGTTTAATGGCATCTTACTTTTCTACAACCAACATCCTGGTTAGAGGTGCCCATGGAGGAGCAGTGGCAGAATCTGGATCTTACAAGGCATTTCTGCAGGTGGGCTCAAGTGCTGTGGCACAGCTGGCTCACTGTGCTGTGCCCTGCCATGCAGACAGCAAGCCACTTGTTCTTCATTGCTCCCTCCAACGTGTGCAATATGATGCAATTCTTCTGGGCTGAGAGAGCAGGTTAACCTGGAAATTACTGGGATGATGCTAAAGAGTGAGGAAGCCTGGCCTGAAACTTGAGACTGGGGATGGTGTTGGAGTGAGGGATGTAGCAGAGTGATGGTGCCGGAGAGCAGAGGAGCAGGCTGCTGGTGAAACACTTGGCTGTTGCTTCTCCTTGCTTTCTGCTGGCTGGCTCTGGTCGGGAAGGAAGAGCTGGGTGAGAGGCTCTGGGGAGGCAGGGCAGGCAGGAGGGGAGGGCAGGGCTCCAGCACAGTCACTCCGCTGCTCTGGAGGTGGAGTGTGACTTGGAGGGGCAGACGGAGGGGGAGCATGGGCTGAGCCACTGGTACTGATCCTGCCCTGTGAGTGACTTGGAGCAATCCCTCGCTCTCCTGTAGAGAGGTGCCAAGGCTGAATAAAAGGTGTGGGTTCAGAGTGCCCCCAGCTGATGCGGGCTTTCCTGGGGGCTCTGCTGAGCCGCAGGACTTGAATATTTGAGGTTTTGTGGGGGTTTTGGTGGTGTTTTTAATAAAGCGGAATGTAATGTGGTGGGTTACCTGGCTGTGAAGGTGACTTGAACTCGTATAAATCACGTTAGATGGTTTCAGTGAGGCTTCTTGTGAGACCTCTTGCGTTGCGATTTGTCTTTTTGGGGATTTTTTGGTGGGGGGAAGATGCCTGTGAGGCTTGGAAAGCCTTAAGCTTTTTCTTTCAGAAATGCTTAAATAGTTAGGTTACTGCAGACAACTCTGTCTCTCTGTCTCTAGCAAAAAAATTCTGAACAAATTAGTATTAATCTTTTTGCCAAAGTGCTGCAACAAAGCTGCACATTATCTTAATCTCCCTTGAGCTTCAAGTATCATCCACATAGATGAAGATGTTTCAGTGGAGATCATTTACTGTAAAAAAAAAATCAAAAAATCCAGTTTTGTAACGTGCCACTTTTGCCAAAAGTTCTCTGATTTTCCCTTATATTTTAGGTAATCTTTGACAATCTGATGTTGAACCCGGTGTCCCAGTTATCGCATACAATCCGTGAAAATACAGAAAACCTAGCTGAAAAAATGAAGTAAGTAACTTTTTGTCCCTGGCCTGAAATGTTGACTTGCTGCTGAGTTTGTTGACTTGCTACTTGTGGAAGGTAGTGCATTGTCACCTCAGAAAGTCTTGTTAACAAGATACAGGGAATCTAGATGTAGGAAACTGCTTGTGGTGAATGAGAGGTAATATGATTATTTGCCATCTCTTTTCCTCCTATGTTTGGCCTTTGAAATTTTAATGCTGGAATTGTAATGCTTGTTGATGCTTCAACTTTGAAACCTTCCCTGTGAAAAGATACAGCAGATAATTGGCGGATTGTCTCCTCTTTCCTTCTCTGTTCCAAAACACTCAGCCTGCAGGTCACCAAGCTTGTGAAATCTCTTCAAAGCTTGTTGCTCTAGAAGACATCAGTTAGGGGAAGACTTTGGATTGTTCCTAAATCAGCTGAAAGGCGCTTTGTCCAGTTGCTAATCCACTAATCTCCTTTGTTGCCACATGTTGTGATAATTAAATCTCTTAAACAAGCAGCTTTTGGATGGCAATTTTAAGACCTGCCCCACTTCTTGTGCTGTAGGATTCTGTTTCAAAACTCAGAAAGGACCTGGGAGGAGATGGAGGCCAAAATTAATTCAGAAAATGAAGTGCCAATTCTGAAGACATCAAACAAGGTAAGACCATGCAAGCAAGTGAAATACTGAAGGCTTTTGTCCATGAAGGCTTTGTAAGAAGCCAAAGCAGCAAGCTCTGTCCCTTCTCAAATCCATTTCTGAAATTTCTGTCTGTTTGGGTGTGTTGAATGGCTGTTTTTTGTTGCTGTTTAAAGTGTGACAAAGTGCATTTCTTCAGCTATGGTGTTTCACCAAACTCTTCCCCTCTTCCTTTGTGATTAATCTTCAAAGACCCAGTCCCTTAACAGATGTTCAAGTTCAGGGTCATTAGGCCTCATTTAAATGTCTACAGAAGCATCACCTACCATGTGGTTGCCACAGCTTCTGTTGTAGACAGATGTTTCTTGGGCATGTTTGTTTTCTTCACCTGTAGCAGTTTGATAACAGGGCAATAAAAAAGCTGCAGCCCTAGGGTGGTGTTTGTGCTCTCATCACCTTTTATTGTCGTTGGTGGGGACTGCCAGTAGGGATTTAAGTAAAATAATTGACCCAGCAAACATGGTTAATGCCAAGCGTACATACAACACTGTGCAGGATCTGTGTCACTCGGTGCTACGGCACTATATGTGTGGCCAATGGCTTTGTCTGGGCTAGGAGTTGAGTTTACAAGTATCTTCCTGTGTTTGATATTAAGGAGGATGTGGAGGAGTCCTTGTACAGTTAATCTGGATAGCATTTCAGATCTAAAATTAACCACTGTGGCTGTGAACTGGGTGGTGTTGTAGCACTTGGTGAAATGATGCAGAGCAAAGGTGCCTGTGCACCTCAATACAGGTACTAGCTTCCTCTTTTCTGTGAAACAAGCAAGGTTGGAACTGACGTGGAATCTTCTTGATCAGATAAGGCAGAAGGAGTAGGACTAGATTCCTGCATCAGTTGAGTACTTTGTTGCTTAATTTTCTGTTCTGATGCTTCTGTTTCTAGGAAATCAGTTCTATCCTGAAGGAGCTTCGGAGAGTTCAAAAACAGCTTGAAGGTTGGTCGTTTAGAACATTCTTTTTGTCTCTCAAATGCCAGTAAGTTGCACAAAATAATGCGTTGATTTGCCAGTGAAAACTGGGAAGGGATGCAGAAGTTGAGTTTGTTAGTGCGGTGCTCTCTGACGAGTGCATATGGAATGAAGAGTAGATTTATCTTGTGCTGCCAATTTTAAAGAAAATTGTTGACTTTTGAAATGTGGAAGCTGTTGTTGTGGAAATGCTTTGTTTGTGGTAATTAGCATATTCCCATAAGATGAATATGGCAAAGGTCTGTTCTACTGAAGTAATATTTAGCAGCTCTTTCAGCCAATAAGCTGCGCTGTGCTTTTTGGACTCAAATTTTGCACAGAGCGCTCTGTGCAGTAGGAGGCAAGACAAGCTCTTGCATCATCTAGGAGCTTAATAAAGACATATAAAAACATACAGGCGTCGTTTTGGGCTCCTGCTAAAAGCTTGCCGTTTGACTACTATAGTTTGTCTTTTCCAATTTAACCAGAAAGTCGAGTGTCCTCATAGCTTCAGTTTGGGAGAGGTTTTGCTTGTTAAAGCTGCTTAGGCCTGAAGGTACTAATGAGGAAAATACTGTGACTAAAATGAATGCCAGTTCTGCCTTCAAAGTGAAGGCAGCAACCTTCTGTTGAGAAAATCTGCTGAGTGCTGCTCATGTGTCTGTATATGTCTCTCTTGTCCCCTCCTTCCAGTCATAAACGCCATCGTTGACCCTACTGGAAACTTGGATGTAGTTGCCAGTAACAAATCATCTTCTGCTGCTAAACAATCTACAGCCACTAAAGTCAGGACTGCTAACACGTCTGGGTCCACGCTGGAGACTTTGTCCCCAGCACAGATGAGAAACTACACACAGAAATCGAACTGTGGGTCTTCTCGCTTACAAGATTCGAATTTCATTCCAGATGGAGAGAAGTATGTGATCTGATACAATATTTTGTATTGCTATCATACTGTAATCTGCCGTCGCATTAGTGTTGTGTATGAGTGGTTTGTGGACAGTTTGTGTGGAGCAGTTGTTTAGATTGCTAACACGTTGCACAAAAAAAAAAAAAAAAGAAAAAAACAAAATCTATGCTGTGAGGGTGAATGGAAAGTCTGTGTATGCCTTTTAAACAAGACTAGCACTGTGGAGCAGCACATATTCAGCGTAGAGGCAGACTGATTTTTAGAAAATTACTCACTTATTCTTCCAGTGTGCCATAAGAAAACAGGCTTGGCGTACGCTGCGTTCAGTACTGCCGAAGGTGAAGTGTTCTTGCATTGGCCTGTTCATAATTATTCAGTTGTAATGAGGCGCAATTGAAAGAAACACTTTTTTGGTACTATATTTGGGTTTGTTTTGTTTGTCTGATTATATTTTTTGTTTTGAAGTGTACAAGTGAAGCATTACAGCTCTGTTGGAATCAACGTGCCAATCCAACAGAAGGATCGTGCAATATCGCGGGTTTCTGGGACAAACTCTTACTGCAGTTGTGCAAGGAGTCCTTTTCAGCAGTCATAAAAAGGCAACCACACTGAGGTTGTGCATCCTTTTTTTTCAGTCCAAACACCAAAACAAGACAGAATAAACCCTTTGTTTTTCTCCTGGGAAAGTGTAAAAGTTAATAATGGTTTGAATGTAAAGACTACTAATACAGTGACTATTTTTGATGGTGTTTCAGGCCCAATGTTTGGGGTAGGTACAAAAAGTCAGATTTTACAGTTTAGCTTGTCAGATTTTCATGATTTTGAGATGAATGCTGTCTTTAAGCACCTTTTTTCTTTTCTTTTTTTCTTTTTAAAATCTACAGTCTTTTTACCATGAGCTACAAACGGTCTTGGCTGGGCCAAAGACGAAGATGTTTGTGATTTAGCTAATTGCTAAGAAAAACATCTGTTCCAATGGCTCGTGTAATAAACGTAATTGCACAGTTGCTGTGAACTAGTGTTCAGTTGACAGCACTGAAAAAATAATGGCTTAAATGTAGCTCCACCTTGATGGCTAGTTCTGTTATGAATTTTTTTTTCAATGCAGAAGTGCTTGAAGACCACCATTTCTGTGGTATTTTTCAGAAACTATTCAACAGTGTCAGGCAGTTGGTACATTTGGGATTTTTGTCTGGATTTTATTTTTGGTCTGTTATAATCCTAGAAACACTAAAGATAACGTGCAGTTGCACTGAGCAATTCCTTGTTTAAAAAAGTTGGTTTTTTGTATTCTGTCTTTCAGTTAAAGTGCGCAACTCTAAGCAATTTTTGTTGCTTTAAGAACAAAAGTTTTAGTTTTGAGGGGATCTCTTCCAGATGTGTTTGCTCCCTGTTCTTTCTGTCTTGTATCAATTCCTTTTTTGTTCTTCCTGGTCAATAAACAGTAACCAGGTAACGAAATTCTTTTGTAGCTGTGGAGGATACGTTTACTGGGAAAGGTGAGCAGATGAGTTCCACTTTGCCCTCATACAGTGTGTAGTTTAACCAGTGCAAATGGTTTCCCAAGCTTGACTGCTTCTTGTGTGCTGACTTTATATTTTGGGGTGGGTAGTGGATTCCTTAGTTAGCTTCAGTAGTTACCTGAGCTTTTCTGCTAGAGTGTTGTAACAGTGGGAACCTGTTGAAATAATTTAAATAAATAGGGATGCTCACAAAGTGTTTAGTCTTACTAGCGAAGACCATGATTGCTTTCCCGGTGAAGCCAGTGGGAGCTCTCTGTCAATTTCAGCAGAAACAGGATCAGTCCCAAAACGGGAGTATGCCGACAGGCCATTAGTTTCTTTTGAGCGTGCAAGATGCTGGCTGGTAAACAATAGGTGCAAATATCTTTCCAAGATTTCCACTAGGTTATAAGACTCATCTGCTTCTGTGGAGGTGCTCTTCCATGAAGAAATCTGCTGGATTTCACATAGATGAATGCAGAATAAAAAAAAGAATTTGCCCTTGATGTTCTTCTGCCTGTAATATACGCACTATCTGAACGTGTTCATTCAATTGTTTATTCTCAGCTATCTTTTCTTGAAATACCTGACTGTGTCCTTGATTAATATCATAAGTGGTGGTATCGTTCCTGACATATGAGACAATTTTTCAAGCCCTTCTTGGACAGGGTTTGAACTGACCCGGTGCTACCCCAACTCACTAGGAGTTGAAGGACCTTCACAGATAAGGTGTTGCTGTTAGTTTCAGTTTTGCTGTAGAGACAAGTGAATTCCTCAGACATATGACTTTTATTTGTTAACCACATTTCCACATCTTCCTGGCTATGCTCTAGTGGATTTTGTTTCTCGACAATGTGTCCTTGATGGGACCTCTGTTTACTTTCACTTGAAAATTACATGATTCTTCTTTCATTCATGAGCACATCAAGGATGGATTTTCTTCCTTGGTTGCTCTGTTCTGAACTTGAGAGAGAGCCCGCAGACACCTGACATCAGTTAAATCAACCTGCAAAATGTGGTACCTCTTCAAGTCGCTAATAAGGATGCAGCACCTGGTGTCAGTTTATAATTTGGAAATGCGTGTGTGAAGTGGGGGAGGATGCACAGCTTGATTTGTTTTATTTGTGACTCAGCTAAATGCTGCTGTGTCCTGACACAACATTCATCCTCGGATCTTTGCATTTAAAACAGTTTGCTAGTCAACGATGAAACACAATGTATTTTTTTCTTGTATCCACTGCTTCCCAAGCACACACCCCATGTGCACTTGTCTGCTCCAGATAAGCCAAAGAGCTGGCCACCTGACTACTACTCCTTTGTTCATTGTTACAAGCAGTACTGTATGCAACCATGCAAATATGCCTCTGCGTGACTCCAGTGTGAACCTGACAGGTGTGCAGTGGTGTATCTGGGTGGCCCAGGATCAGTGCATAAGATACCTGCTGGCTCCGGTGAGCTGCAGATGGGCCTTGCGTTGAGCTTGGCAGGGATGACGCTGGCCTGTGGGTCACTCTCATACCATATTGCTTTCCTGTGTTTTGTATCTGACTAAAGAAATGTAACGGAGGGTGGGATTTTCAAAGTCGTAGGGAAGCAAGGGCTCAGGTCCTTTTGGGTTTCCATAGGCTTTGGGTCCCTGACGCCGTGAGCACCTTGCAAAATCCCAGCCCTCAGCTCTTCCACTATACTTGAAAACCATGTTCTCAGTTCGACGCTTTCAAATGTAAAAATCTGTTACTCTGGTCTGATGGTGTGAATGTAAATTCCTGCGAGAATGCGTACGAGCTTTGTGAGCGATGACCTAAATGTATCTGCAGCGATGTCATGTCGTGGTCGTGCTCCAGGAGAAAAGAACGTCTGCATCATCTTTGAGTATTTTAGTAAAGGTACAACTAGCGGAATGTTTACATACAGCCTACTGAAAAAAAGAGGAGACAAAAAAGAGATAAAATAGTGTAAAGTATTTAAGTGCTAGATTCTACTAGTTTTTTCTTGTTTTGCAGATCACGCTAGCTATTTTTGAAGTTCAGTAAATGTGTATAACTTTTGCAAAGACCAGACAGAACTACCTGTTCACTTTCGATGTGCCCCGTGCTGAATCGTGCCTATTTCACTCTCTGCTGTTGTTATGCTGCTGATTCTGCTGTTCTGAACTGTTCACTGGATCATTCCATTTGCATGCAACACAAATGCAAGCTGAGCTGTCTGAGAGTAAAGCTGAAACACGTTTGTATAACTTGAATCGACTAATGACTTTTCTCTTTTCCACACCCCCTTTGAAATGCTGTGTATAATTTTGATTTTTCTCTTGCCCTGATTTTTTTCTGCTTATGTTTTTTTTGAATGGTAATTTATTTTTGTTTGGATTATAGGCAGTATCTGTACATTTTGTTTCAAGTTGATATTGTGGACGTCTTTAAAAAAATAAATTGTTATTTTATATAATTTTATCATAAAGTTGCTCTAATAAATCATTCTTTTATCATGTGACAACGATTCTGGGTTTCGTGTGTTAATTTGGGGGGGCAGTATGTGTTTGGTGGACTTAAATTTTTCAACTGCTTCATTACATCGGTGTTAAGTACAGTGTAATGAAAGAATTGTCAGCAACTGAAGACTCTCAGTGCAACTGGATCTGTCCTGGTGACACTTGTGGCTGGGGCAGATCCGTCTCCAATAGTGCAGGAGTCCCCTATCCTCTGCCCCCGTACTTAACAGGATTGAAATCTGCAAGTCCCCATTGCCTGAGGGTGGTCTTCCTTCTGAATACGGTATGGTGATATTGGATTTAGTTCTTAGTACTGTTTTATTTCATTACCATGGTTAACAGTAGTAGTTAAATCCAGCCTGGATATGATCATTCCCCGGCAGGTAAGTGATTATAGAAGAATGTTACTATACTCTCTCCTTTGCTCTCACCTTTATGTATATATATTTTTAATATATATATTTATATATACATAGGAGTTTGTGTCTGTGAAATTCTTTTGATTCTTCTCTTCATTCCATCACTGTTCTATTTCCCTCCTGCCGTTCTGTCTGACCTTTGCATCCTTCCTGGCACTTTTGAAGTAACGTTAATTCCTCCTTCCCCTCTGCACAGCCTTCAGGTGCCTGCAGCCTCCCTGACCCTGCTCGGTTCCTCCACGTCCTCTGCATTAGCACAGCTTCTACAGGCAGTAGAACATGCGTAACAGATGAAAACTTTGCATTGTTTACCAGCAATAACTAAAATGCAGACAAAGAAGGGAAAAAATTATATTAGTACCTAACCAGGATCAGTGGGAGACTTCCGATCCTCTGCTGACCTTTGCATTAGGTGTGTGGACATGGGACCTTTTATGCTTAAAGTTTAAGGGAGGGATTTTGTGTTTAAAAACAAAATAAATTTTTTAAAAAATCTGCCTTTCTTAAAAAGCTTCTTAAGCTGTGTGTGCTCTGTCTGCAGAGAAGACTTCCTGTGTTCTCTAAAATTCAGGGCTGGGTTACACACTAACTATATTGCCTCTCCACAGGC